ATGTAGCAAGCCCCTCTAGTGCCTCTATGTAGCAAGCCCGTCTAGTGCAGTCTATGTAGCAAGCCCGTCTAGTGCAGTCTATGTAGCAAGCCCCTCTAGTGCAGTCTATGTAGCAAGCCCTTCTATGTAAACTGCATCTATGTAGCAAGCCCGTCTAGTGTCTATGTAGCAAGCCCTGGTGCCAAGCCCAGCTATGTAAACTGCTTCTATGTAGCGAGTGCATCTAAGTTACAAGTGTGTCTAAGTAGCACCTGCTAAGTAGCAGAGACTTCATCTATGCAGCAAGTGCATCTAAGGAGCAGCTGCATCTAGGACGCGCACCTGCTGTCCTAGCTAGCGTCTAAGTGGTGAGCACATCCAAGTCGCAAGTGCGTCTGTTGTAATGCACATTTCCAGTCAGACCTCTGACTTGGACTTGGTGGGTTTGGGAGCCCTTCCTGGAGTCTGGGCTGCTCGGTGGCCTCCTGGGTCACTGTGGGAAAATCCTGAGCGTATTTCAGAGGAATGTTTTCTAAAGGAGGCTTCCAGCCTGCAGAGGGGCATGAAGGCGTAGGTTTGGGGCCAAGGGGCTGGGCTGGGGGTCCCTTTCAGAGTCAACATTGGAGTTAATTTCCAAAGGTCCCAGGAGGTGTTACCAGGGAAGAAGGAAAGGCTGTTCCTGGGAGGAGAAACTACAGAGACAGAGGCCTGGAGGCGAGAGCACCAGGCTCTGACAGCACAGTCTGCAGGTGTGCAGAGTCACCAGCAGAGGTGTGCCGGTCGAGCTGGAGGGTTCTCTGGGAGAAAGTTTAGCGTTCAAGGCAGGTTCCTCTGAGCAGGCCTGGTGGCAGGATCTGGGACAACAGGCTCCCATGAGTTTCCCTCTCTGCTTCCTGTGCCTCTTGCATTCCTTGGAAGGCTGAGCTTCTGTCCCTGCACTTCTGATCGTTCCTCATCAGTACAGTAGGGGGTGCTAGAGAGCTCTCAGCTCTAACCCGCCGGGATTTTCTCCTGAGCCCAGTTGAAATGATGCAAAACCAGGTGCCCTAGAAACCCCTTAGTCTCACAAAACTTGTCTGCTGGATTGTTCTCAAGGGGCACACAGTGCCCAGTGCCACCAGGGTGGTCTCGGTCTTGATGGTGGCATCTCTGAGACTGCAGAGAAGGAGGGTTGCTCATTCTGTGGCCTGCTTGTTGTGGGCTCTTGACAAATCCAGGTTTAGCAGCCTGGGATCTGAAGGGTCAGGGAGGAAACCGGCGAGGTCCTGCCTGCCTTGTGGATGATGGACACGGGGTATTCTGAGCTGAAATGTCTTTGGTAGGTGGTGAGAGAGCTTACCTGGACTGAGTTCAGAATACATTGGTGAAGGCTCACCTTATGACTCCGTGGTGAAGGCAGCTGGGCTCCACATAGGAGATCGAGGTTCAAGGCCCTTCCCTGGAGGCTTGGAAAACAAAACAAAACAAAACAAGAACGAGCTGGAAGCATACATGGTCCTGCTGACAGGAAGTATACCTTCTCCCCTGCCCCCCACCCCACAAGTGCACATGCCTCTGGCAATTAAAAAGAGAGAGAGAGAGATTGCTGAAAGGTGAGGAAAGGGCTCCACTGTGAATAATATAACCTTCGCAGGTAGAGTGGAGGCCTGGAGGAACCTACAAGTATTACCCCACAAGAGTGTGCAGTTTCCTGCAAAGTTGTTCTGATGGGCGGTTCGCCTACAGAAAGCGTGCGACAGAGGGGTTTCCACTGGCTCTTCAGAAAGTCTGGCTGTCGGGGCCTCCTCCGTCCCCAGAGCTGTGCAGGCCCGGGGGCGTCCAGCACACGGTCTGTGCACCTGTGCACGAAAACCCGGCTGTCAACAGGGAGCGCATTCCACGGCACTTACTTAGTCATGTGTTTGCACTGGGCCTGTCAGGCTATGGGGATCAAAAGGTAAAGGATGAGTCCCAGCCCCAGGAGAGACAGAAAACAGCGCCTCCTGACAGCGCAGTGTGGCACGTGCTTTGTGGAAGGCCCCAGAGGACAGCACGGAAGGGGAGAGGGAGAGGAAAGGAGGACTGGGCCAGGAGAGTGTGCTCTGGACAGATTGAGGTCCCCCATTTGCTGTTTTCTCCTGGCCCAGAGACTGTGGGAGTCCTTTAACTGTAATTTCGAACTTACACGAGTTGCTGCATGTTTTTGGCATACAGCGACCATGTTGTCCTTTCAAACTCTACATGGGATCCTCCTTAAAAATGTTTAATTTGCCGGCGGGCCTATGTGCTCATGAGTGAGAGACAGTGAGAGGGGGAGAGGGGGAAGGGCACCCCCGGGGAAGTCATGCCACAATGCCCTCTCTTCCATTTCTTCCTCCTTTCAGGAATTTGGGCACACACGCACATGCACCTGGCATGTTTTTCAAGCCACTGGGTCCAGGACTCGAACTGCATGTGGGATACAGAGACCTTAACCAGCAGGCCAAGGGGTGGCCCGGTCCTCCTTCTGGCAGTGCAGAATTGCTGTAATACGAACGAGTTCTCCGTGCTGGGTGGGCGTGCCTTCCCTGTGGACAGGTCATGGCAGGTCAGGTGGCTGCCCCTGCTCCCCAGCTGCAGTGGGGCTCGCTGGGCTTGTCCGCCCCACCACGGTCTGAGGGGTGAGGGGTGAACCATGTGGCTAAGCTGTTTTAATCCCACCCTGTTTCCCCAGTCATCATTGTTTAAACAAAGTGTCAAAATGTTTTTCAAACCATGAGAAATAACAACAGCAGCTCACCTTTCTCCCGGGGGTGCCAGGCCGCACCAGGCAGCTCCCAGGCTCCCAGGGCCAGGCATCAGGGTTCTCTTGGGATATGAAGTGGACAGCGCCCACTCCGAGGGACCCGTGTGTACACTCTCCTCACGGAGCTCAGCGCGTGTTATAGGAACAAACCCAGCAACCCCAAGGCTCACTGCCTCCGCCAGACCACCCCTCTAGGACGCCCCTGCTCCCCACCCGCACCCCTCACCCGCTGGCCACGGCAGGTCGGTTCTGCAGTCTTCACGTGGAGACGGCTCGCGTCCGTCCCCCTGTCCCTCCTGGCTCCTTACGCTCCCCGACAGCCTCCCCGCGTGCTCACCCCTGCTCCCCACTGCACTCTGCAGCCTGGAGGGGCTTCCTAAGCTGCAAATCGATCAGTTCTGAATCCCATAATGGCTGCTGCTTCACTCTCCTTGGGACACAATCCAATTTCCTCGCAGGGCTCTCGGCCTCCCACGGCCAGGCCTGTGTGAGCCCTGCCTCCCACGGTCGCTGCGCCTGTGATGGAGAACTTGGCTGAGTTCTCGCAGGGCTGGCTCTGCTGCACCAGAGCCGGGTCCAGGGCATTGCTGGGTGTCCTTAGTGGTTTCCCTGTGCAAGTTGGGAGTGTCCCCCTCAGCTGAGAAGCATGTCTGCTGTGGGCTCCAGCCACACCCTTCCTCAACTGCCAGGTGAGCCCCAACAGTGCCCTGTGCTCCCCGACCTCTCGGAGCCGCGCCTTGAAGGACTTGGAAGGGAGCTCGGCGTCCCTCTGGGCGGCGGAGGACTGGCCTGTGCGGGTGTGCGGGCACCAGGCCTGGGTTGTGTCCTCGCCGAGGGTCTGTGCCCACTCCGAGGGGCCGCGGGGAGGGTTTCAGCATCTAGGGGTGCCAAGGTGCTTTTCCAAGCCTCCATGTGGTCCTTCCCTCCAGAGCGCGTTTGAGAGAGGCACGAAGGCAGACGGGTGTGTCCAAGGGGCTCCGCAGGAACACACGTGAAAAACCTCTGCGTGATGGGACCGGCAGGTGGCGGGATGGCCACGCCGCGGGACTCCCACGCAATCTACTGTGGATGGAGTCCCAGACCTGGCAGCTTAAAACTCACGCCGGGCACGTGTGCGTGTGTGCCCAAGAACCCGAGAGAATGGAGGAGAAGGGATCGTGGCGTGGCCATCCCCCCGGGGGTGATTTCTCACTTTCTGTTTCTCTGTCTCTCTCTGTCTGGCAAATGCACGCGCCCTATAGCAAAAATCTCATGGAGAAAAAAATCGCTGTATGAATTTCAAATATTTTTGTACCAAAATAAACTCATATTTCAATTGCAATTCCACAAACTCTGCAAAGCCCCCTCATAGACCAGGAGAGGGCTGCTTTCTAACCAAATACCCCTCAGTTCCCTGAGAAATGTGGACAAAGCGCGTGGTATCCGACCTCCTGCTTGTCTGTAAGAATTTC